TTTATTTGCTAAAAGGAATAAATAAATCTTACAATTCATATTTAATATGGATTATCTCATTATTTATAATATTCTTGCTTTAATGGGTAGTTATCTAGCCTTTTTCACATCTTGGGTCAAGTGACTCATAATTACCTTTGTTCAGTTTGTTAGTTATATTAAACTTGTGAGGAAAATTATAGTTTTCTACCATATTTACATATAGAGAAACTAAACAAAGACATTAATTAGGAACTAATTTTCTTGGTGTTGATGAAGACTAATGTAATTCCTTCCATTATGCTTCCTGCTCTAATTAAAAAGACTTGCTGTCTAATTTGGTGCTGTCCAACAAGAATATACTGCAAGCTATGTAAGTAATTTTAATTTTTCTAAAAGCACACACACATATATTAAAAAAGGTTTTAAAAATGTAAAATAAGTCTTAATAATATATTTTAGGTAACCCAATATAACCAAGATATAATTGTTTTAATATGTAATCAGTTTAAAAATCATCAATGAGATGTTTAAGTATTTTTATACTATGACTTTGAGATCCAGTATTTATTTGGTTACATAGCATTTCAATTTGGACTTTGAAAAATGGCAATAAGTGACCAGAAAACATGAGTTGCTTGAAATGTCAGAGCCTATTATTTCAAGCTACCTTTCAAGTGCTTAGTGTCCATAGGAAACCTTTCTGGTTAGCAAAGATATGATTGTTCATATTCACTGTTCAGAGAGCCAGGGAAGTATTAGGTATGTGAGTTCTGGAACCAGTCAATCTGGGTTCACATTCTGATACATCACGACTAACTGGATAAGAAAAGGCAAGTAACTTTCTATGTCCCAGGTTTCTCCTACCTAAAATATTTAATAGGTTATTATGAGAATTTAATGCATCAATATCTAATGCCTGACAATAGTAGGCATTAAATATTAGCTATTTTTATTGTTATTATCAGAGAACATACAGAAGATAATTCTTCTTTTTCTCCTTCCCTCAGCAAAATTTGTAAGAAAGTAAGTATGTTAGGTCTATAACAGGGTTTGTGGTGTTGAATTGTGTCCCCTAAAATATATGTTTAAGCCCTTACTTCCAAGTACCTCAGAATATGACCTTATTAGGAAATAGGGTAGCTGGAGACATCATTAGTTATAAGATAAGGTTGCTTTGGAGTTCTTAATCCATATACAAGGGACAGAGACTGAGACATAAAGGGAAAATGCAATACATCAAGCAGACATATAGACTGGGGCTATGTGACTGTAAGACAAGGCACACAAAGATTGCCAGTCACCACAGAAGCTAGGAAGGAGTGAGGAAGAATTCTAGAGACTTAGAAGAAGTACTTTCCTTCTTGCACCTTGATTTTGGACTTCTCGCTTCCAGAGCTGTGAGAGAATACATTTCTATTGTTCCAAGCAACCCAGTTTGTGGTTCTTAATTTCCTCAGTTGTAAGAAACGATTACAGGTTCTTTTCCTAAAAGGAAGCACTCTATTTAACAAGCAGCCAAGGTCCTGGATAACCGACAACCTGGCAATTGTAAAAACTCCCAAGGAATCCCAGGAGACTTTGATAAAGTCTGGGCAGCTCCATCTTCCAAAGGGCCTTTAAGCAGTTCCTCAATTCCATGCATACACCTGCATGGAAATGTCATCAGGCAAGTTATGAATAAAACAAGTCATAAATGAATGAGACAAGTCATAAACAGGGAGAAACAATTTCCATTACCTCCTCAGGGACTAAACTGGTGTGAGAATGTCACAAAGTCTATCATGTGTTTTTAATGGACTTGGTAATTTTCTTTTACTTGTAAAATTTCCAAAAAATTGTATTATGATCAAAACATTAATTTTAACTTATTTTTTATTTGTGTGTATCCATAAAAAATAGGACAGTAAAGATGGGACATACAAAGAAGTAAAATCAAAATAATCTAAAATGATATGGGTTTTTATGTTGTTAATACTCCTAGGACTTTTAAACATTCTATACATGTTTTCTATAGTTTTTCACTATTATTTACAGCTATAGTCCTTTCTCCCCATATATATATCCATGTACATTTTCTCCCCATATGTATACATATATGTATGATTTGTGACAAATTTGCAAAGAAATTTCTTTAAAAGAAAAATTTGTTTCAGTTATTCAGGAATGCTTGGATGACTGTAAACAAAGTAAATATTCAATAAAAGTTTGTTATATTTATTTTAGTCTGATGATTTTAAAATAGATTCTGGAAATGGATTTGTTATTTCAATCTTGTGCCTTACTAGTTCTTTTTATTTACCAGGAAAATATTTGCTTCTATGACACCATCAATCTAAGCATATAAAATGACCTCTTCAAATCTCCTTTAATATTTATAAGAATGTAAACTGCTTCAAGTAGAACTTAGACTTAGAAAAGACCTTAGAGATTTTTTGTCTTAAACTTTTTATTTTATATACAAAAAAATCAGAGTAAAGGAATATTAAAGACTTAATCAAGGTCATATAATTATTAAATGAAAATCCAAGCTATAACTCCTATTACCCAAGTCACCTAAAACCCAGCTCAGTAGCTTTTACATCACATCACCAAGAGATATATATATATATAAAATCATCCTTTGTGGCAGATGAGGGGGATAGTTAGTAATGCATTAGTGAACTTAAGCAGAATTTAGAAAACTGGTCTTAACTGTAAAATTGCATAATGCATAGGAAGCTCTTAGCATGATATGGGGCACATAATCAACATTTGTTCAATGGGACTATGATTATTCTTGTTATGTAATTCAGAGACTCAGTGTGGAATAAGGGAAAGCCTAGTGGATTTTGAAATCAGATGTGCCTGGGTCAACTGGCTTGTGAAATCTGGGCAAACCACTTCTTCATATCAATTTTCTTACTGACAAAATGGTAATAATAATTATACAAGGTAAGAAAAATATTGGATGAGTCATTTGCTCATATTGAGAATGAAATTAGAGTCAGCTGTTTCATATTTCATATCTTGAATCAAGACTACAAACAGCTAAAAGAGCTATCTCAATTCTTATTGAGAAAGGCACAGGCCAGGCTCACATCAACTCTATCTTTGGTCACCAAAGGCCCCACCACACCCCCCAACCCCGTCTCCCTCTTTTTCTACCACACCCCTTGTCTTTGGCAATGACTCTTAAACCTAAGGCCCTGCTGTCTTCTGAGTGTTCAAAAAACTCCACTGATATCACCTTGCTTGTATCTCTTTCCCTAGGCCCCATATTTTCTTTAAAAAGCACATCTCTCTCCCTTCCTTCACTTTATTATCTCAGGCACCTGTCCTTGTCTTTCTAAGATAAGGACTACTTAGCTGATAAACCTACCTACCTAAGGTAACATTCTCAAAATATGTTCTGTGGAATGCTAGTCTCTAAGATGCTTTATGAAAGAAGGCCAAGTGATTTGGGGAAATGGTTTTAGACTATATTCCATAGTAGCAAACATCCACCTTCAGAAAAGGACTACTGGCATTTCCACAACTCTACATCCCTTTCCTATAAAGGGCTGCCCCTGCAGACACCCATGACTCTGCCTGAGGGTATCCTCAGATTCGCAGCATGCCCTAACAGCCTCTGTGCAGGGCCAGGGTATCTATGCTGCCAAGAGTAGCCCTCAACCAATGCCAGGTAGTGGGAAGTGGATGTAGCTACTCCAGCTTCCTTGTCCTCAGCTGGTCAACCCTAAGGTAGGTTCTATACAGTTTCCCAGAGGCTCCAGGCAAGTGAAAGCCCCAGATGCCCACTCCAATAACTTGCTCATTAATTAATCCTACACGGGCTTTCTTCCCTTCTTGGTCTCACTTTCCCACTACCTTACCAGTATATTCTGAGATCCTCTTTTAAATAAACTACTTGTCTCAAGATCCATTTCTTCTTTCATTAAAGATTCACAAACCAGCAATATTAAAGGCTACATGAAGTCTTTAGGAAGTAAGTCCGTTACATTTGACAGATTAATATATTGCCTTCTCAGGGATATTAGCATCTTAACAGCTTCTTATGCAGAATTGGGTCTCCTGAGGTAAAAATTCAGGATCCATGGTAGGTGAAATATAAAATAATTGGAGAGGTATGTGTTATTATGTCCTTCAAATCAAGCCAGGTTAGTTTCTGTCTACTCTGTTATCAAGAACTAACAGAAGACTAAAGAGTATATTCATGAAATTTGGGGACAATCCAGGAGGTACACAGGGTAAAGATAGTCCTTTTTTTTTAAATTATTCTAATAAAAGAAGAAACTTTATGAAGAAGAAACCTATATTTTAGTAAAAAGTCTCAGACAAAACCATCTGGGACCACAATGTCTTAAGGGGTTTGAGGGAGAAAAAATAATAAGCAGAATTTTAAAAACTTAAGACTTGAACTACTCTGTAAAATACACAAAAAAAATATTTTATAGAAGAGTAAAACCCTGGCTTACATAAAAGAGACACATAGTTGGGAACACTGTAGAACGCACTCCTGTTCTACCTTTAACACAACCATTGGCAATAGTCAGGTGCTCTACAGTCTCCCAGAAGAACCCAAGTGGAAGGATATATAAAAAGAAGCCTTATAAATGGAGAGGTAAATGAAAGAGTCAAAGGTCAGTGTGGGAATGAGGAGGTAGTTTAGTGTAATTCGGGAAAGTTCATCTCCAGGACCTGATTTTTACCACTTTTAGGAATTTTCTTCCAAACTTGGCAAACAGTTTACACTCCTCCTTTTGTCATCTAAGTCTCACTGTCCCATCCATGTCCATTTTTAGGTGTTGAGACATTAAAAATTTTTAAATGCATTGCTCTGGTTCAACATTAAAAGATTTTACTTTTTTGTTAACGTGGTTATTTTGAATTCCTTTGTAACTTATAACAAAATATTAGTAAATGAGATACAAAATAAGGAAGAAAAATTTTAAAAATCCTAATTCTTTTAGGAGTACATTTTCTATAAAACAAAAAGAACAAAAATTACTAAAGAATGAGAAAATGTGAGAAAGGAGTACCAGGAATCAAACATGGTGATGAATTGGGGGTATCTGACATTTCCATCTTCATCAAGGAGGATTCTGTCAAGTAGCAACTCAAACTCTTCATCAGTAATCTCTACACCAAACCTGAAACAAATAGCAGTTAGCATCAGTCACCCCCCAAGTTCACATTTGGGTCACCCATATCCACAATACCCTAAGCATATGGCTGCCATTAACGCTTTGTTACTGCTGCAGTCCTCAAGATCAAGAGCACCACGTGAATATCAGAGGTTAATCAGGGTTTTGATCGCTTCAGCTTTCTCAAAGAAAGAGATTCTACCACAGAATCCCTGCATTGGTGGAGCACAGAAATAGAAATACCGGCATGTTGAATTGTGTGTGATTGTCTTCTAAAAAAAAAAGTTATTCATTACACTAAAACACTGGTATTGCTTAAACAAGTTAACTCTGAAAGGGCTTTCAATTGGACTGCTTAGCATGAAAGAAAAGGTAGAGAAGAAAAGTGCCTTTCGAAAAACAGCTTCCTAATGCTCTTGCAAAGCATTTCATAATGGCTTTAAGGACATTTTGCATACAAATATTTAAAAAGTGCCAGTGTTTATTCATCAGCAAGAAAGTGTTTTCATTTCTCAAGAACAATCAAAACATAATCCTTGCTTGAATCACTGGCATAAATAAGAATGACTTAAGCAATAATAATGAACAAGGCATTCATTCATCATTTTGCAAAGCTGATAAAACCCAGCTGACTTTTGGGAAAGAAGGGAATATATTTTCTTTTGGCTGTGCAATGAAAGAAAAACATCATAAAGGATCCTTTTTTTCCATTTTCATTATTATTTCCTTGGTAATTATAAAAATAAACCATATACACTATTAACAACAATGCAAAAAACAAAAATGACTCTTTTTACAGGCTGCAAAGAATTAAGTTATCCCATATGAGTATTTCACAACCACTCAAATTTTAATAGCATCTCAGGGATTCTGCAGTAAGATATCCTTTTTTTCACTTGAATAAAATTGGGAAAAAGAGTAGAATCAATTATTTAATATGGTACCCACATAAATACTTTTAATCTTATTTCCTTTTATTCTCTTCATTGTTTTCTAACAAAAAGTTAATGGCAAAAAAATTAATTAGAAATTAATAGTACTCAGGGGTAAATATTTGGTATTTTTCCTGAGAAATAAACATTAATTCTTGAGTTTTACTTGGACATAAACTCTTAAATTTAGTATTTAATAAGAAAATATTTTTAATAGGCATCCTGGAAAGAATACCAGATTAAAAATCTAGAGACTTGATTCTAGTTTATCCACCATTGTACAGCTATGTCATCATGGAAAAATAACTTAAGCTTTCATTTTTCAGTTGTCTAAACTCTCAAATACTGAGTGGTCATGAGATAGTGAGATAATGAAAATAGAAGTGATTGAAGTGGGGAGTGGTGGCACATGCCTGTAATCCCAGACAATGTACCTATTTTCATGCAGCCAACATGTGCAGCAGAGACAAGTAGTTAAGTAGTCAATAAAAAATAACTTGTGTTTACTATAAGGATACTGGTACTTATAAACACAGGAATTGTTAATATGTGAGATAATATATGTTAATTAGCTTGATATAGTTGTTCTACAATGTACACATATTTCAAAACATGTTGTACAATGTAAACATTTATAATTCTTACTTGTCAATTAAAGAACAAAGAAATGACATACACAACAGAAATTTAAAAAATCTTCCATTCTATTACCACTTTAATAAAAAGTGTTTGGATGACCCATACTGTAAAATTAATTAAACTTAGGGCTGGAATGCATTTAACATTTCTAAGTACGGACATCTTATATTCACAAAATAAACCAGACTTCTAATAAAATGATAAAATCCTGATTCAACAAATATGTGGGGACCCCAATCATGCATTACACATGATATTTGTGCTTTGGGGTACAGTGATAAGATATAGCTTGCTGTCCAGAAGGGAATGCAGAAAGTAAAGAAAAAATTGCAGTAAGATATGATGAAGAAATACAAAATATTAAAGGTGCTTTTGACAACATGCTCTAACTCAGATGAAAGGTGAGGAAAGAAAAGATGAGTTAAGAGTCAACTAGGTAAAGTAGAAAAAAAGATAGAACACTCTAGGTGAGAATAGGCACATTTTGGAAATGAAAGGAATTTAATCTCATTAAGGTCCAAAGCTCATGTGGAATAATGGAGGCACCAGCCCATAGAGGCATTAAAAGCAGCTATTTTTATGAAGTATGGACTTTATTCAAAAGTGTAGGAACTGCTGGGTGGGGTGGCACATGTCTGTAATCCTAGTGGCTCAGGAGGCTGAGGCAGGAGGATCATAAGTCCAAAGCTGGCCTCAGCAACTTAGCCAGGGCCTAAGCAACTTAGTAAGACCCTGTCTCAAAACACAAAAAAAGGCTGAGAATGTGGCACTCCTGAGTTAAGTCCCTGGTACCAAGAAAAAAAAAAAGCTTAGGAACTATTTGTGATGGTCTTCTTTGTGTATCAACTTGGCTAGGCTGAGAAAGTATCCTACAAAGGTGATTAAATTTCATAATAAATTGATTTTAAGTAAGGGGTGGGCCTGATTCATTCGGTTGAAAGGCTTTAAAAACAGAGCCAAGGCTTCCCTGAAGAAGAAATTCTGCCCATGGACAGAAGCTCAGCTGTTGCAAATTTGTATTGAAGTTGGACATAAGGAATTGATGACCCTGGCAGGAGTAATTGTAGGAGAGTGAAGAGTCCAAAATTAAACTTACTGGGTGGAGGAGTCAGTGGAAGTTGAAGGGACAGAAACTGAGAATATACTTTTCTTCCAAGAAATTTAGAAAAGGAGGGAAAAGGAAAGAGAAGGAAACAGGAAGGAGAAATAGAGTTGAGACTGTTGTTATTTTTAAGATGAGAAAAACCAGTACTATTAAATGCTGACAGAGGCAGTACTAAGGCAGAAGTTTAAGACAAGAAAAAAATGAGAGGGAATTATCAATAGAGCGTGTAAAAAAAAGATAACAGAAAGGTGAAAGAATATCTCTTTCAACCATAGTGGTACTAAGTAACTGAAAACATGGATTATTTTTGTTTGTATGTTTCCCTTTGTGTTTCTTCTCATGATGGCTAAAGGCAGAAACAGTTACCACAGATCTATTTTGGGATTCTGTTTTTATTTACTGTTCATTCTTATTATTTTTAAACAATATTTCATTATAAAAATTTTGGCGATATAGAAAAATACAGAAGGTAATTAAAATCATCTGTAATGATACCATAAAAAAATACCTGTTTCACTGAAGTAGAGAAGTAAAGAAGCATGGGTTTATAGGCTTTTAGATATTAGGAGTTTTTAATTTTTATTTTCAAATTTTTGTGTAAAGTAGGCTGCAATGTTTACAACTGAGAATGGGATGGGAGAGGAAAGTAAATGTGAAGCATGTGGTTTGAAAAAATTGAAAAAGTTCTGAAATAAATCAGTGGAAAATGGGAATGTGGAGTTGCCTAAAAAAATTAGCAGGAATTGACAGAATATTTTGAGAGCCCCAGAGAAGTTGGTGATAAAAAAAATAAATAAAATAATAATAATATTAATAATAGTGATATAAATCTACTGATTTATATGATTTTCCCCAGCAGCACTATACAGCCTGGTGCAGGGGAAGACAAGCAGTCAGGTTCAGTGAGGGTTGGGAATATGCTAGTAAGTGTGAATGGAAGACAACAAATCAAAGGAGTTTAGAAATTTACAAGAAAATAGCTATCATGAGGAAAATAGAATCTAAGCTGTGTCCAGATTAGAAAGGAAAGAGAAAAGAAGTATGTAGTTAAGAGAAATTGAGAGAGAGCAAAGATGTTAATTGACTAGATAGAGCAGGTAGGAGACATTAGTCAGGAATAGTCGGAAGGTGTGATTTCAGAGATGTAGTTATTTTGGATGATATTATATTTGGTTTTGGATCATACCCAAAAGAGTTTATATCCTTAAGTACCCTAAAGACCTCCATCACTTAGAGGGTAGAAATACAAATAAAAACTAACATTAACTGATAAATTAATATGTCATTAGCAGCATGCTAAGGATTTTACACATATTATATTCCCCTTTAATCCCAACAACTATAAATTAAACTAAAACTGTCCTAATAAAATCCTTTTTTTAAAAAAATATTTTAAGTTGTTGTTGGACCTTTATTTATTTTTATGTGGTGCTGAGAATCTAACCCAGTGCCTCATACATGCTAGGCATGCACTGTATTACTGAGCCACAACCCCAGCCCATCATAGGGTCACTGAGATCTCTGAAGGTCCTAAAGAAGGTTAAAGAAAATTAGTATGAAAATGAGGCCAAAGATTGAGGAGGATGTGCTTTCTCTCTCTCCTTCTTGCTTTTTTTTTAAAAAAAATTTATTTATCTCAGTTGTTGATGCACCTTTATGTTTTATTTATATATGGTGCTGAGAATCAAACCCAGTGCCTCACACATTCGAGGCAAAAGCTCTACCACTGAGCCACAACCCCAACCGCTCTTTCTTGCTTTTATTGTGAAATAAATTTTTATTGGCTCTTTTTAGTTACACATAACATTAGAATTCATTCTGATATAATTATAAAAGCATGGAATATAATTTGTTCCAATTCAATCCCCAGTACTTCCCCTTTCCCTCTCTTCTTCCCTCTTCTTCTTCCCTCTTCTTCTTCCCTTCCCTCTCTCAACTGGTTTTTCTGCTACTTATTTATGGTATTCTTTAAATTAGTGTCTTGTGGATGTACACAATGGTGATATTTACTGTGGTCAAATTCTTGTATGTACATAGGAAAGTTAGGTCAGATTCATTCCACTGTTTTTTCCTATCCCATCCTTCCTCTCCTCCCATCATTCCCCTTCATCTACTCCACTGATCTTTCTTCTCTTTTTTATCTACCTCCCCCCATATTTTGGATTACCTTCTGCATTATCAGAGAAAACATTTGACCTTTGACTTTTAGGGACTGGCTTATTTCATTTAGCATGACAGTCTCCAGTTCCGTCCATGTTCTTCCTCTTGAAAGTGACAGGGGAAGCTGAGTCCTCAGCTAAGAGCTGGAATTTTACCACATCAGTAACATTTAGAGAAATTGAGAATGGAGCAGAGTCTGTTCCTCATGGACTGAGTGGGCACAACGGGAAGATTTTAGAAGGGAAAATGTGAGAGGTTTTAAAGAGGGAACAAGAAGCCCAGGATCTCTTACATTAGGATAAAAGAATTCTCAAAGGACATATATATGTGTGTTATATATATATATATATATATATATATATATATATA